TTGGTGACAGATTAACTTTTTCTGAAAGATATAAGTGGTGCGGATTCTGTTGCCCTTCCAGCTTGTCGTGGAATTGTAGGGGTAGTTTCTCGCGAAATTCTTTTAACCCTACCTAGGACCGGGTCTTTTTTTGATAGTAGGGGGGACCGGGGGGGCGGGCTTCTTTTCGACCCCCCCCCTAAGAACTCGCGAACGGTATGTCGTATGACCACCAAATTTTCAGAGAATGGTGTACTAATGAAAATTTATCATATCTGCAATTTTTATGTCGTTATAACGTAATATGACGTCATTATGACGTCATTAATGTGATTTTATTGGCCAAAACCGTCTAAATAGGTTTTTCCCAGAAAACTAAATGGTATTCAACATTTTCATGAAAATAACCTGTATATACCTGTTCTAATGATATGGTCCGCCATCTTGGATTTTGGCCAATAACGTCATCAAATTAGCATAAATTATGCATATTTAATGATAAAATTTACATAAAATTATATGGTATGTTATTAATATTAGAAACCATGAGTAACTTGACATAAAACCCAAAAAATTCTATTGTTGAAACAAAAAGTACTAAATTTAGCAAAAAATGCCTGTCAGAAACCCGTTGCCATGGCAACATAAAAAAATATTATCTTATGATAGAGAATTGTTGCCAACAATATTTTAGGAAAAGTCACCAAGTTTGGCCGTTCTACGGCTAGCCGTTCAGACGCTAGGTGACATCAACCCGGTCTAGGTAGGGTTAATATTAGGGCACAGGAGCCGAAATTGTACATTTTTGGTACAAAAATAGCTAAAAATCCCTATTTTACACACTTTTGAAGTGGGGTACGTCCAAAGTGTGAATGGCAACCTTTTTACATGTGTCCAAGGTATTCCCGTACCAAATGTCAGGTTATTTGGATATAAGATTAGGGCACAGGAGCCCAAAATGTACATTTTTGACCAAAAATAGCCGAAAATCCCTATTTTACACAATTTTAAAGTGGCGTATGTCAAAAGCTTGAATGCTATATCCTTCTTCTTCTTCTTCTTTATTCTTCTTCCATATTACGTGCTTAACCTCAATAGGCTGAGGACTCCAAGCACGGTACGTAGAAGACGTACACAAGACTGTAATGTTTGAACCACTCACACCGGGAAGATCCCATACTCTTTTCGATAAGTGTATGTGGCGGGTTCTTTAGCATGCTCGAGGTGTGGCTCTCCCCAAACACGGGACCTCCATTTAACGTCCTATCCGAGGGACGTCCCTAACCGAAGCTAGGTACTCATTTACACCTGAGTGAAGTGAGGAAAGTCGTGTAAAGTGCCTTTCCCAAGGGCACAAGATCGGTGACATGGGTGGGGATCGAACTCTGGACCTCTAGGTCCTGAGCCGAACGCGCTACCGCTGCGCCACACGACCCCACCGCCACACGACCCCACAAGTAGACATGTGTCCAAGGTATCCCCATATCAAATTTGAGGTCATTTAGTTTTAGTACTAGGGCTCCCGATCCCAAATTGTATATTTTTTTTTCTGAAAATGACAAAAAAAAATATTAAATCCCTGTTTAAAAAAAAACTTAAATGCCTGTTTAAAAAAAACTTTACCATCATGCCAAATTGCAGGTCATTTGGCTCAAAACGGCTGAGTTGAATCTCTTTAAAGAAATGGCAGGAGGAGGAGGAGAAACATGAGAGAAAACAATACATTTCTCCCATACTATAGTATGGATGAAATGTAACTAATTTTCTTCTATACAGCCAGCGTAGGTGAATCGTCCAGTGTTCAATATGGGTAATATTATTTCAACAAACAACCATTCACCCTGGTTGTGTTGTTGTTATCTTAACCTAGATTACCCTGTCCAGGGCAATGTTGTTTCAACAAACAAATTTCACCCTGGCTGTGCTTTTGTTAACTTGCGCTAGTTTACCTTGGGTAGTGTTGTTAGCTTAACCGCCCACATAAAGGGACAAAAAGACTATAAGTGCCTGCACTTAAAGATGTGCACTACACACTACAGTAACGACCGGACCTCCCACGACGCCCATATCTGAACTTGATCTTGCTTTCGTCAACGGTAACTTGCTCACAAAAAAATCGTGAACATCCATTTGCAGATTCTCGAATTACCCTGCTAACAACAATAACGACCAAAACAAAAGGTCAAATTCAATGACATGGGAACCCACACGAGGCCCATTTCAGAACTTGGCCTCCTTTTTCTCAACGGTAACTAGCCAACTAAAAATCATATTCAACCATTTAAGGATTCCCGATTTATTTAGAGTACAACAAAAAAGGCAAACACAAAAGGTCAGCTCCAGTCTTGTAAGAACCCTCACGAAGCCCATTTTTGGTCTTGATAGTGCCCATCACAAAGACAACCTGCCCACCAAAAATCGTGATCCTCGGACCATGCCTTTAAAATTTATCGTGAATAATCTGCCAAACAGTACAAAAACGATTTTATAGCCTTCTGTCGAAGGCAACAACCCACCCGTGCTTGTACGTCAGCTTTGTATTAGGGAATTAAGGCACGCAATAGAACACGTGACGCAAGAATACTAATGAGATGCGTCTCGAAAACCAAGAGGTAACAATAGCGCCAACTATATTTTCAAATGGCACCACCACCAGGCGGTCGGCGTGTTTCCTTTATACGGTTTGGTCTGTTACACCGCAGAGCGGTGGTTTTCTGTGCCTTAGTTGCTATATTCTTTATTTTAATGCAGTGGGCAAAACTTCCTATTAATGTGAGTTACTCAAGACGGATCACGTCCAAAAGGTACTACCAGTCTTTGTTGTTGTTGTTGTTTAATTTTTGAGTGCTGATAAATCATACCGGAGGATAACTAACATGATTTTTAAGATGCACTAAATACATCGTTTCTATTTTGTCTTTGTTATTTTGACCTTTCTAACAATTTATCCATTTTAAGGATTAAAACTGTTTCCCGACCGGCGATCAACAGGCCCAATATTGTATTCGTTTTGGCAGACGACTATGGATGGAATGATATTGGTTATCATGGCTCATTTATTCGTACACCGAACCTGGATAGGTAACAGGTTATTTTCATCCAACGCTAGTAACATCGAGCTGAGCAAGTCATGGGGTCAAATAAGTCCAGATGTAGTTTTGTGAGGCATTTGAATCTATGGGAATAATACATTTACGCATATCCGCCGACTAGTTACCCTTAAAAATAAGATGAAATTAGGGTAGATAAAAAGGCTTTGGGATGTGAGAACATTTTATGACAGATGTTCAGCTGGAGTTGTATTAATTTTTTTTCGATATTATCAAGCCTGGCATCAGAGGGAGTTAAGTTGGAGAACTACTATGTCCAGCCTATATGTAGTCCGTCAAGGGAGCAACTAATGACAGGTAGATACCAGGTAAGGTGAATTGATGATATGATTTAATGCAAAACAACCTGGCAAGCATTTAAGTTTTCATACGATGTTGCTGTGTTAACCCTATTCTGGCTTTTTTGTACATTCTGAGATCAAATGGGAAAGGGACTTTGGAGGCCCGCCACCTATAATTAAAAAACTACTTGGTCCACCAATTTTTTAGAGAATGGTGTACAAGTAAAATTAAATAATAATAATAACTTGTCATTGTGACGTAGTATGACGTGTTCATGACATCATTCTGTCATTTATTCTATATTTAGGCTAATTTATAAACGTCAGAATTAGTCTCACCCAAAATAGGCAATCTTTGGACTTCTGTATCTTACACAAAGTAACAGACATTTTATTGAATTCAACATATTTTGTTATCCAACAAAGACATTTTATGACTAACAAAGAAAATTATAATTTTTTTTCCTTATCTGCATGGAAATGAGTTGCAGCAGACGTTTAAAAATAGCCCGTTTGTGTGTAAAATACCAAAATTAATGTTTTAACGATCAATAGCTGAAGATTAGACCATTGATTCAAATAGCTCGCCTATAGATCAAATAAGAAAAGAACCTCAAGCTTCCTTTATGTGACAAGGAAACCTTGCCTGTTCTATTTGTATTGCAAAGCCCTTTACTATCTTGCGGGTGGGAGAACTGCCATCTATGAATTCAATTTAAATTCACATTTTTGCCAGCATTTTCCTGCCACGGAAATACTATATTGATCTATGAAAAATTTGCAACTACAACTAACTAGATATGATAAGTGCACATTTGTCTTATATTTGTATTGTATTCTTATATGTTTTGTCTTACATTAATCTTATATTTATATCCACTATTGGAATTGAACTTTTTGGAATGTAACATGGTTGGCAATATTCACACATTATGTTACACACACACTTTGCCTTTGTACGTGCAGTACGGATCTGAAATTCAGTCGTTGGTGCCCTTATGAAGGTGATAGGCGGACGCTAAAATGTCAAATATTTTAATATATTGTGGTTAACAAAGATCATTCTTGTCATTTTTTTATGGGTTCACCACACCACGAAGTGGTGGTGAACCCATATTGCTTTTTCTGATGTTTCTTCTTCTCCTTCTCCTTCTCCTTCTCCTGCCATTTTTTAAATGGATTCAGCTTCTTCACTTTAGGGCCCAAGGTCCTGAAATTTGGTATGGAGGTACAGTGGGCAAATACCCCTAGGCATTTTTTAAATTATTGTGATACAGGCTTTTAGAATGGTTTTATTTGAGTTTTTTGGCTGTGTTATAGCAAATGTATTACTGTGTTAGTGTGCCTTGTTTACCACGTTTGGGCATGAGTCATCACAATGGAATGCAGGGCATCAACCAATAGGCATGCAGCTTTCCTCTATACTTCTTGCTGATTGGCTGTTGGGATTTAACTTGATTAACACCTGCACAGAGCATTTCCATACTGACAGTATGTCTGTATTCAAGTGTTTTGGTAGGTATTTCAAGCTTTCCTGCTCCAGCATTGGAATGCGGGGCATGGACGTTTTTTTTTATTTTGAAAATCAACAGTTTGCATTATGCAATTAAAAATCCTAACCAATAAAGTAGGGAATAGCTATCCAACTGTTGTTTTAGTTGTTAACTGTTGTTTACTTCATATTATAGTTATATCAATGTAAATCATTGTTTTCCCTTGTGTTTCTCATTCTTTCCCTGCCATGTCGTAAAATGTGGTGAACCCATCGCTGTATTTGCTCCAAAGCAAATATTGGCCTTTCTAGTTTTAAATCTTTTTTTATAATGTGTAGGTGTTTCTATATTACCATTACATTTTTATTTTGGGTTAATTTAATCTAATAATTTCAATGTTTTCAAGCCCAAACTCATGTCACTTTGAATGTTTTCAAGCACTGCCTTCCACTAAATGTGTTCCACAAAAAGACACAAATGACTAATGAAAATTATTAAGCCTGACTTAATCTTTGCAGAAAATTTGAAAAATTTTGATTAATGTTTGAGAACATGTACATCAAATAGATTTTTAGACATATTTCCATGCAAATTGATAAAAATATGGATAATTAAAAAGTTTATGTAAGTGCAAAATAATGTTTGTCCCCAGATTCACTATGGACTACAGCACAGTGTCATTATGTGCGATCGTCCGCATGGTCTTCCACTGGATGAAGTGACCTTACCGCAACAACTAAAAAAGAACGGATACTCGACATACATGGTTGGCAAATGGCATCTGGGATTCTTTAGAAAAGAATATATGCCACTGCAAAGAGGATTCGACAGGTTTTACGGTGAGGACTTACTTGAAATAAGAACATAAAAATTCAAGGTAGCACATTTTCTGCATGAAAAACGAAGTTGGAGTTAATATTTAGGCTAAGATTGTGTGTGAATGTGTCCGTGTCAGTTAGTGAACAAGATAACCGAAAGAATGGCTAAATGTATAAGGAGAATTTAACTGATCTCCAACTCAAGAAAAATGATTTACCGGAATTTTCGATTACACACTTTTAATAAGATATAACTAATACTAGAAATAGCTTGTTGACCCGATGGCAACTATTCTAGGAACTGCAGTGGGACTTGTATTACATTTTTGTTGAAGAAAGTTTATACTAAAATAAGTTTACACTTGGTTTGCGCAGTTTAGTCATAGTCTGCTTAGACTGACTGACATATACACTGAGATATAAGCAATGATATGTAATTATGCAAGTGAGTTTTTCTTTTTGTCATACATATAGTACGCAAATATAGTCGTTTGAGAAAGATAACGTACATTTATTTCTAAGCCTTGAGATCACCAAGCTCTGCTTTCTTTTTACTTGAGTTCTTATCAAATCATAAGTAAGTTGTAACTCCGGGACAATTTTTTCTTGGCTACAGTTTAAATCATACCACTTGACCCAAAAAAGAATTTAAACAGGCTATTCCAGTACAACTTTATCCCAAAATTAGTATGATAAGATATTAAGGTCTGTCATATGTATTTATATACAGGCTACTTGACTGGTGGCGAAGATTATTGGACACATCGAAAGCCAAGCCAGTACTCAAAGGATCCCTCGGAATATCAAGGACTAGACTTGCGGGACCAAGATAAGCCTGTCTTGGACCAAAATGGAACGTACTCAACCCACCTGTTCGCTTCAAAAGCAATTGAAATGATCTCGAATCATGATCATAGCAAGGTAACTAATTAACATAAGAAAATATTCAAGTAATGATATGTAATAATAAGAAAATTATATACAAGCACCATTTTAAAGGGGCATTATGTGACTTTTTGACAATACAAAAAGTCTACATACCATTCTTTTCTTTACTTAGTACGTTGACTTAACCCTTTAGGATTCCGGAATGATACTCGTCAACAAAAAAGACAACAGCCTTGCTCCTTTATAAGCTTAGAAACCTGTGAATGATCTTCTCTTCGAACCTCTGGCCACACCGCACATGTTGTATTGTCCAGGCCAGTGGTGTGGCGCATGGCCTAACTCCCAGTGGGGCGTCAGTTGACAGCATACATTTGGACCTTTTCCTATTTTTTGGTGCATAAAAGACAAAAAGAAGAAATACCCGATTTTTGAACCCTCTTCAGACCGAGTGGTCTTTTAAGGCCCGCGCCAACTTTAATCTGAAATAGCGCCTGAACGGCTTGAGCTAGAACCATCAAATTTGGTGATCTTTCCTAAAATGTATCTGGTAAAAACTATATTAGTTGAATGACTTTATGATTTTTGGTGTTGCCATGGCAACGGGTTTCTGACAGGCAGTTTTATCGGAAAAATCAGTAGTTTTGTTTAAAGCATAAAAATTTTCTGGGTTTTATTTTAAAGAACACTTCCTTTCTGGCATTAATAACATCTTACATGATTAAAGGTAAGTTAAATCATTTAATATTAATAATATATGCTGATTTGATGACGTCATCGGTCAAAATCGAAGATGGCGGACCATATTTATTAGCACTGACGTCATAAGAAGTCATAATTTCACCAAATTTTTAGAATTTAATTTTATTAGTATACCATTCTCTAAAAATTTGGTGGCCATACGATAAGTGCATAAAAAACATGTATGAACGGAAATAAAGTAATGTATAAGAACGCCAGTGTATCCATTATGTTTGAAAGCCGGCTGTGGTCCGCCCGGACCCCAAAAAGGAAATCAGATATAAAAAATTTTAGAAATGGGGGAAACTGAGTTTTCTGTACCGTATTGAGGGACAGGGCTTCATACCATTTGTTGTTAACCCTTGCGGTTGACGAATTATACAATTTTAACCCTCAACAGAACACCTTCCCGGACTGATTAATCTGTACACCTGGGGTCGGCGCGGACCCCAGAACAGTTTTTGGCTAATTTTTAGAAATTATCCACATGCTACCAGCTCAATTGTTTTGCAAACTGATGTGGGAACCTCTGTGTCCACATTACATACAAAAATCATACATTTTGAACTTTTCTATTTTTTGGTGAAGAAAAGAAGACAAGAAGAAATACCCGATTTTTAAACCCATTTCAGACTGAAGGGGCTTTTAAGGCCCAACTTTGATCTCAGATAGCGGCTAAACGGCTTGCGCTAGAAGTATCAAATTTGGAGACCTTTCCTAAAATGTCTCTGGCAAAAAGTTCATATTAGTTCAATACTAGTAAGTTGATGTTTTTTTGTGTTGCCATGGCAACGGGTTTCTAGCAGGCAGTTTTTTGAAAATAGAAGTAATTTTGGTTTAAACAATATTTTTTATATAAAGTTTTATATTAAATTACACTTCTTTTCCAACATTAATAACATCTTACATAATTAAATATAAGTTTAATCATTTAATATGCATAGAATATGCTAATTTGATGACGCCATTGGTCAAAATCCAATATGGTGGACTATATTATTAGCTCTGACGTCATATGACGTCATAATTACACCAAAGTTATTAAAATTTAATTCTATTACTACACCATTCTCTGAAAACTTGGTAGACAGACGATGAGTGCATAAAAACATATAAAAACAGAAATAAGGTAATGTATAAGAACGCCAGTGTATCCATTATGATCGAAAGCCGGCTGGGGTCCGCGCGGACCCCAAAAGAAAATCAGATATAATTTTTTTATAAATTGTAGAAACGGAGTTTTCTGCACTGTATTGAGAGACAACTTTGTTGGTGACAATTACCTAAAATTTCAGAAAAAAATCTTTAGAAACAAAAAAGATATTACAGAATATATAGTGCTGGGGTCCGCGCGGACCCCAGGTGTTCTGTTTAGGGTTAATCATTGATTTTGTAAAAAAAAAAGAGCCTCAGTTGATCATATTCTCGACCCAATGACAACCTTATCTTAACAAAAAAGGCTATTATAGCACTTCCTCATAAATTATGCAAATGATGTCATAATTTAAATAAATTATGTTTATTGATGTTCACCTTCACTTAACTTCCAAATGTGGCAAGTATGAAATTCCCAGCAGTTACAACTATCAAATTATAAAAATATGCCATTAATTATGCAAATCTGGTCCTTATTTACAAAATCTATATTCTCAGATGTTTTTCTCCTTCTCAAGTAGATGTCACAAGTGTTTCATTGTTCTATTAGCGAACAAAGCAGATTTATAGAATTTCCTCATTAATGATGCTAATTAGCTCCTGATTTCCAAAATTGTCCTTTAATTATGTCAAGCATCACTTCAACTGCCTACATACTAAAAATCACGACAATCCGTCAACCGGTTCTTGAGTTATCCTTCTTCGAAAAAATTTTAACAAATGCTCCTGCAGTTCTAGAACAAGCCGCTAGGGGACCTAAACTCATGTCACTTCTTTCCTATCCCAAGAGCTATCTGCCAAACAAAATGACCCTAGCATGTTCAGATTACGAGATATTAAAACTTAAAGTTCTGCTGCGGTAAGAAGGAAAGCCGCCAGGAGGCCCAAAATTTAATCATTTCTAGGTCTCAGGAAGACCTACCCACCTACCAAGTTTCATCCCAATCCATCCACTGCTGCTCGGGTTATCTTGCTAAACCACATACACACACACACACAAACACAAACACACGGACAAACGCTACTGAAAACATAACCTTCTTGGCGAAGGTAAAAACAGCTATCAGTTAAGGATTTAAAACATGAATCATATTCAGAACGTGTTTTTCTTTTAAATACGTTTAAATATATAGTTTAAAGAGCCCTGGTAAAGATCTTTTTCCTCGAACTCTTATTGGTATAAGTGCCATGTATAAAAGGAATTACTGATTGACTCTAACATACTTTTTGGGAACATTTTTTTCAATACTGTACTCCACTGCACGCGGATTATAATGCGTAAGGAGACGACTTTCTTCTGGTGGTCTTGTACAATTAGACTTGTCCTTTTACACGGGCTTATCCAAACGTTGCTACTGTTTTTTTTAATTGGGTATAAGTCCTTTTCACTTTACAGATTCGCAGAAATAGCAAAAATGCATCGGTATTACATGGTCAAACAAGAGTTCCACGATCTCATGCCTTCGCTAAATAATGTTAACCCTTCCGAATGACGAATTATATTACATGTATTTTAAAAATTGACTAAGTAAGAGCCTTATTTGCATGGGTTACATCAGTTGATTATATTTTCCACCCAATGACAGCCTTATCTTAACATAAATGCTATTTAAACACTTCCTCATAAATTATGCAAATGAGGTAATTTAAATAAATTTTATTTATAATGTTTACCTTCACTTAACCTCCAAACGTCGCAAGTTCCCAGCAATTACAACTATGAAATTATGAAAAAAAAATCATTAAATATGCAAATAAGGTCTTTATTTACATAATCTATATCCTCAAATGTTTTTCTCGTTCTCAATTACATGTCAGCTACAAGTGTTTTATAGTTCTATTATCGAAAAAAGCAGACTTATAGAATTTCCTCATTGATTATGCAAATTAGCTCCTGATTTGCATAATTGTCATCTGATTATGCCATGCATCATATTATCTACGTACATACTAAAAAACACAACACCCTTCAACCTTCTTGAGTTATGCTTCTTCGAAGATGGGCCCAAACATGTTAAACTTCTTCCGTATTCCAAAAGCTATACCAACCAAAACCCTAGCATGTCCAGATTGCGAGATATCAAATCCGAAAGTGTTGCTGCCGTACCAAGAAATGCCGCCAGGGGGGCCAAAATTTAATTATTTCTAGGTCTCATCAAGACCTACCTACCTACCAAGTTTCATGACAATGCATATTAAGCTGTTCATAGACAGGCAGACAAACAAACGGACAGACGCTACTAAAAGGAACCTTCTTGGCGAAGGTAAAAATACCACGAAACTAGATGTGCCACACTGAGAGCACACTGACGTATCATATTTTCTTGGCTATAAACACGCTGCGGTAGCAGGTATACCGCCTCGCTTGTTCACTGGGCAACATCATCATCGACAATGACTCGTCTCCGAGCATAATTGTTGATGTCAGGAGTGGCCCTCAATCCTTGGGATGTCGATGTCGTATGTGACTACTTTGTGACATTTTGTGCAGAGGAAGGTAGGACGTGGGCATGGGCAAAGAAGACGCTCCTTGCGCTTCCTGCCTTTTGGCCTCAGCTTCAGTTCGGCGTTGTTCCTCCATGTGAGCCGTCCCCTGCATCACAGTGCGTCGTAACTTGGTACTGTTTTCTGCCAGGTGCTCCCAGCTGTCCTGGTCAATGGTGCAACAAAAAAGGGGGCCCTTTAGTTGGTCCCAGAAGCGGCGCCAAGAGGCGCCTCTAGGTCTTGTGCCAGATTCAAGTTGGGAAAACAAGATCTGGCGGGGGAGTCTGGTTTTGGGCATTCTACTAACCGGTCCTGCCCAACGAAAGCGGTGTCCTGCCTCAGTGGTCTCAATACTGGGGAGATAACCTCGGAGAAGAACAGCTTCGTTGGAGACACGGTCTTTTCATTTGATCTTCATGATGGCATGGGGTTTCTGCTACAAGGGAACCTTGGCGGCAAAACTTTGTTATGGGTTTAGTGCCGATTCTTAACAGCTTTAAAACTGCATAGGTAAATGTTTCACTTGCTAAATGCTAGATTTTTCTTTAAAAAATGCCAAATTTCGTGTTATCTTTTGTGTTACATGATAAATCTTTAAACGTGTATTATGTGCAACTTAGAAAAATAGAAACACCGATAAATATTCATTATTAACCCTCAAACACCCGAACATTTTTGTGACGTAAATGCCCGAATGGGGTCCAAATGGATCCCATTTGGTTTCTTACAAATTCATACTCCTTTTTGCATCCTTTCAGTGACCTTTGCACATATATTGGTTAAACATATTAAGACGTTTACTTTGGCATGGATAAGTGTTAAGAAATTCCAGCTCATTATCAAAATTTATGCAAACATAGGATGAGGCTTGCAGGCATGAACATGGGGTTGACCTTTGACGTCATATGATTGTAAAATTGTCAAACCTCTTAAAATCTGATAAAATAATTCCTGAGGTTGAGGTCACTTGGTAAAAAGCATAATATTAAAGAAACAATGCTTCCTTGAAGACATATTGAGGACATCCGAACAATTTCGTGTGTAGGAAAGTGCAAATACATGGCTGGAGTCCGTTTGGACCCCAGACCGTCTTACATCAGACTTCTGTTGTTATTTTTACAAATTTGTGCCGATCTAAAAAAAAAATTAGGAGAACTTGTAGAAGAGGTTTACTGACAAAGTCACGGGATGAATTTTTTTAGAATATAAAAAATTCAAATAGCACATGGGAAAATACGTCTGGGGTCCAAATGGACCCCGTTCGGGTGTTTGAGGGTTAAAGAAGCATTATTAATATCCTAATTGAATAAATGCTTATACCAAGGTAGAGGATGACTCGTGTTACAAATCTGCTTTATCTTCTTTAATATTTCGAATTAATACAATAGCCCATGTTAGTACCACCAGTAGTGACAATTTCTTAAACATTATTAATCAAAAAGTTTTAGGTATTTATGTTAAATTCTTTTTAACATCCTTTCTAACATCAATGCTAATGTAATCATACGACATGTTTGACCATATCATATCATATCTCAGGTGCAACATTATTTGTTCTCTTAAAATTTTATAACTACCTTCTTTTTAGAGAAAAGTTCTATTTAAACGTCTTTAATCCGTTTAGATCTTGTTTATAGGCCGTATGTTGAAACAACTGCATTAAAAAAAAATTAAAAATTGCTGATGTATAAAGTCGGCTACCGTACATGTGTATCTAAGGTGTCATGTTAAGGTCGGCCCTTTCCAAAAGCTAAATTTGTGACTATAACTTAAACACATATGTGTTAAAATGCTCACGGTCAACGAAATAAATGTCAAAATGACGCTGACAAATGTCACCAAAATGGTTGTAATTATATAATCCTACTACCGCGATAGCAGAAACAATTTGCGGAATTGGATAAATTAGTCAAAATATATTTCCCCTCTAGGATAAGCAAAATGACTGTTTTACAACCCACGTGTATAGTTACCTCCATGGCATGTCATGGCATTTCAGTTGCGCTTGTCCGTCCGACAGTCCGTCAACAAGATAACTTAAGAACGGCAAGGTGGTTTTGTTTCATACTAGGTGCGTTGGTAGGGTGTCACTAAAGCTGGAAATGATGGGATTTGGGGCCCCCTAGTGTTTTCCCTTTGTACTGCAGCGAAACTTCCCGGATTTTTTTACGTGATTTTGGGCCCCCTAGCAGCTTGTTATGGAACTGCAGGACGGTTTGTTTAAAAATGTTCGAGCGGGGATAATCAAAAAATCGTTTGACGGATCGTCAGATTTTTTGTATGTGCGTTGCTTAAGTGATGCTTGACATAATTGAAGTGCAATTATCTAATTTTCATAATTAATGAGGACATTCTTTAAAACTTCTGTATTTGATATTAGGGCTATAAAACATTTTAGTATGTAATTCAGAACGACAAGAGCATTGGCAGATATTGATTATGTAAATAAAGACCTTATTTGTATAATTAATAGAAAATCGGTACAGTTTATGGTTATAACTGGAGATAAATATATGTTAAGATTGTTAACATGTTAACATAATTTATTCAAATCAGGACCTCATTTGCACAATTTATGAGGAAACGCTAGAATACCATTAGTTCTTAATATAGCCCTGTCAATGGGTGAAAAAAATATTTATTGATATAACATATGCAAATTGTCACATGTAATTGGCATATTCGCAGTAAAAATGTATAATTAGTTAGCTTGGACGACAAACAAGAGTTGGCAAAGGTCGTAATTGCATATAACCAACAATATCGTACGTTACGTCGATGAAGGTTAGACATCCAGGTAATATGATACGCCCAAAACAGTTACTCAAGCAACTGAATATGATTTTGGAAACGGTCAGACGTTTCAGTTAGTATTCACTAGCACCTCGGAGGTGTCTATGTTCGTAAGTTTTGGCTTCGTCTGAAGTGATAATGTTGTCTGTACGGTGGAGGAGAGTTTTGATTACTGGTATTTTGTGTTCGAAAGGGTGGTGAGAATCAAAGGCCAGGTACTGATCAGTGTGGGTTGGTTTCCTGTACACTTCGAAACGAAGGTTACCATCTTCCTTTACAATAGTTGTGGTGTCTAGGAAAGGGAGCATGTTGTCATGACTTGGCTCCTGTGTGAACTTGATGTTGTCATCTATCTGGTGGATGTGGTCAAATAAATCAGCAGCTACCCTCTTTTTCAATCTGCACCAAGTGTCATCTACAAATCGAAACCAGTTGGCTGGGGGAATGCTTTGTCCATAATAGCGTACCTTGTCCATGTTAAATGATAAATATTTTACCAGTGTGTTGCATGTTACTAGGTATGTGGATAATTTGTATAAATTTTTTACAAATGACCAGGATTGTAAATGTAAGCCATTTACAGGTGGTCATCATCATGCATAAGGTTTACGAAAGCAAAACGTGTCAAGGAGGTATGAGATCGCCGAACTCTAGTTTGTTTGGTTGTGTTATAATAAAAAAAATTGGTACAATATCCCTCATTTTCGCAATTTTTTTAGTGTTTGGTAAACTTTTTTGTTCCCTGCAGATTAGTCGCTAAAAACTACCTTGTACTAAAATGTGCGTTTTTTTATATGATCGTGCATTCTTTACAAGATTTGTATGGCTTTCATAATTATGCTTGGGTACCCTTCTACGAACGCAATATAGACTGAATAATTGTGAAATACTACTGTTGTACATGATTATTAGGTGACATGAGAGTTTCAATTCTTTTACAATCAATATGTAAGCAATTTAAATTTTTAAATATAGCTGTGCTAAATTCTTTTTTTCATTCTTCATTTCCCTATAGCCGATGTTTCTCTACCTACCTTTCCAAGCGGTTCATGGCCCTCTTGAAGCACCAAAGGAGTACATGGAACAATACAAAAGTATAGAAAACACTCTTGTAAGAACGTATGCAGCAATGGTAACAGTTTTGGACGAGGCAGTTGGTAATGTAACGCGCGCCCTGAAGACCCATGGCTTGTGGGACAACACTGTATTTATCTTTTCGACTGGTGGGTTTTTTTTAACGTACTTGTATATGAAGCATACTTTTTCTATAAAAATTACCGTTTTATAGTTTCTCTACAATGCTGCTTCTTAGCCGGTATTAAATACGTGTATAATAAAAATGTGCGCGGCACTGCCACTGAGCAGTGTGCTTTGTGTTAAATGTGTTCTAATCAAATTCTTGTGATTTCTCTTCTAAGACAATGGGGCGAAGAAAGGTAAGGGTTCTAACTGGCCACTGAGAGGCTGGAAGAACACCCTGTGGGAGGGAGGAGTACGAGCTGTCGGTTTTGTCAACAGCAACCTGTTGGAGAAAAAGGGAAGAATCAGTGATGCTCTTATCCATATCTCTGATTGGTTTCCTACTTTACTTCGCATCTCTAATGGATCTTTGACCGGTACAAAGCCTCTGGATGGATTTGATGTTTGGAATACAATAAGGTACCTTAAACCGATTTAAACCAAAGTCATTAAGTACTTGCAATTAGAATGTACATTGAATTGTTAGCAACAATACAGCTATTTTTGCACTTAAGACTTTATACTATCTATATAGATTATTGTTAGCCGCATTGACAGTAGAAATTTTTTGCCTTTAGATATAGAAACAATACCAAACTCTTCTTTTTAAATGTCTCATTATTATGTACAGCACTGGAGCACTTTCACCGAGAACAGAAATTCTACATAACATCGATCCACTCAAGGCCTTGTCTTCGTTACAATTTTCTTACAAACTGTATAGCGATGTATTTAACACCTCGGTTTATGCCGCTCTTCGGTCTGGAGACTGGAAATTACTGACGGGTTCTCAAGGTTAGTGAGCGTTGCTTAACTAATCCTTATGCAGACCGTTGTTCAAATCGGTTCCTTTTGATTTAAGTTGTTTTGGGGGAGGGAGAAAGGGCAATTGGACTAAAAATAGACTCTTGGACGTCCAAGCGTATAGTCTTTGTTTTGCATAGCATAAAAGAATACTCTTACTAAAAACACAATTCCATGATCATAGTTTAATAAAGTTTAGTAAATATAATAAATAGATAAATAATATAAACAATCTATATAATAAAATTTATTTATTAAATTTGTGTACTTGCAACATGCTAAAGCTGCAGTTCGGAAGCAAATAGCTGGTTGTTTGGTGGGTAGCTAAATCGCTGTGGGTGGTTAATTTCTTGGGTGCAGGGTTAGCAAATGACTAGCAATTTTTCCCTGGAGGAAAAAAATCACTTAGTCTGGGTTCCATCCAATTTGCCATCAAATGTTCTCGGGGTTGCCGTTATAGATCGGGTGGCTTTTCCTATGCCTTTCACCACGGGATATGCGAAATCACTGGGGGTGGTGTAGTTTTCAGTTTAAATATTTTTTTTTCAAATAAGATTTAGCATGATTCTAACATCAATTACAACTAATGCGTATTTATGTCATGTCATAATTAGAAATGTATAAAGTGATTTGATGACTGATTAAATTTCATCATTTTGCATCAACGTTAATAATGAGATTCTTAGACGACATTTAAAGCAAATAAACTTTATACTAGTAATGGAAAGAACAAATATTAAATAATCAAAATAGATCATATTCTGTAGAGTACAAAATATATTAGTATTTTGTCTAAACAAAATCATCTTCTCTCAGATCGAGGAGGATGGAAACATCAAGGTCCTTCTCACAATATGTTTGACAAGCCGAAAGAGCAACCCGATAAACACATCTGGCTGTTTAATATCCGCAACGATCCCCAGGAGAAAAACGATTTGTCTGATAGGTATCCTGTCATCGTGCTAGACATGCTGGAGAAGCTATCAGCTTACAACAAGACAGCCGTCCCTCCGTTTTGGCCCCCTCGTGACCCAAGGGCGAACCCTGCACTGCATGGAGATCTTTGGGGACCATGGATTTGACTATAAGTACCAATGAAAAAACTAGTTCATTAGGCTAAGCACGTTTTATCCGTTTATAAATTGAATTCGCCATAAGACATTACATCTGATATGACTGATGGACTTTGCACTGATTGAAAAAAAACTACCCATGCAATGATAGTTTGAAATCGTATAAGCTTTTCATCTTTCTCAGATCAGTTTTTGTTAGGTCGTCAGGTTATGATTATCTTTCAAATAGTTTTTACCAACATTTTCAAAGTAATCTTTTAACAGTATGAGTATTTTGGAATATACATTTTCCAAAAGGCGTTTACTATTTTCCATTAGTGGAGTAAAAATTTGCAAGGAAGTATTTTAAATTTGATACTTCCAATGTTTATGATTTCCACACTTTCTTTCAGTTTAGAAATAAACTATCCCAGTGAGTTTGTGACGTTACGTATGTATTGTAATTTTCTTGAAAGGCAGAGGAAAGACACATATTATATTATTGGGATTTTCTTTGTGTTGAAACACACATCAGTTGATCCAAATCATGTGGTCCTCCTTGTTTTTGTTTTTTATTTTAAATATTTTGTTTAACCCTATCTAGACGGGGGGGGGGCTAAAAGTGCCCGCGGCAAATTTGATGTCACATAGCGTCTAATCGGCTAGAGCTAGAGCCCCCAAACTTGGTGACTTTTCCTAAAATATTGTTGGCAACAAATCTGTATCAGTGGAATAAGATAATGATTTTTCATGTTGCCATGGCAACGGGTTTCTGACAGGCATTTTTTGCCAAATTTATTAATTTCCATTTAAACAACAGAATTTTATGGGTTTTATGTCAAGTTACACATTGTTTCTAATATTAATAACATCTCATATAATTATATGTACATTTTATCATTAAAATGCATAATTTATGCTAATTTGATGACGTCATTGGCCAAAATCCAAGATGGCGGACCATATCATTAGCTCAGGTAAATACAGCTTATTTTCCTTGAACTTTCATCAATACTCCCATTTCTTTTTACAAAAAAAGGTTTATATGAACGTCTTTAGTCCGTTTACAATGTATTTTAGGCTTTTTCCTGAAAAAAAAAAAATATTTTTCAAAATTCAAGATTGATGATCCAAGATGGCGGATAGGTAATATATGCATGACGTCGTTTTATGACGTCACCGGTGTTGCTATGGGCAACATAACCTACATCCTAATATTCTGTCATAAACACTTTTGGTAAAGCTATGTCGTATACTGTTTAGTTTTCAGGGAATAACTTATCTAGACGGTTTTGGCCAATAAAATCACATTAATGGCGTCATAATGATGTCATATTACGTCACAACGACAAAAAAATTGTACGTATGATAAACTTTCACTAGTACACCATCCTCTGAAAATGTGGTGGTCCTACGATATACTGTAATTCTTGATTTGATAACGGTCACTTAATTATAGCGGTTTTAGCGATCACCATTCCACCGCTATAATTTCATTACCGCAACAGTATCTGATCACTTTCGCCCCCCTCCCTCTTGCCACGGCACACACACATAATCGTAATCGTACGTCAACAATCACTCTTCATGTCTTGGCCACAACATGCATACAAATTATGTACTAATGAGTCACACAGGAAGAAGCAAAACAGTGATGTTCTTCTAGAAATAAAACATTTATTATACAGCATAAAGTTTGTCGTCATTCTTTTTACAAATGCAGTGCGTAAACTTACAGTACTCGCCACACACCAGTACGAACAAGTGCCGTTACGCTTTGAAATTCTACAGCTTACTAGTACTTACTAGTACTAGTACTAGTCCTTACATGGTACTGTATACTAAAGTAACGTTACAGTAAATACAATTTCTGGAGATTTGTACAAAAACTACAACGTGTTTATTCAGTATCTTCTCGAAAGAGTGTTGCAAAATCCAGCGTCACCCAAGCGTTCAGACAATAACAAACATGATGGCGTCACATGCTACGTAGCTGCAACTCTAGAAGTACAAACTACAAGTCAGAAATTTGTGGAAATGTACGAATGAATTTACTAGTAATACAGTTCAATGTCAACGTTAGAGAATATCGGACCTTCTGGATGGCGTCCCGGATGCCTGTGCGCATCCGTTCGTGAGTTCTGAGAGGGGGNGGGG